GGTTGGGGTTGGGTTTTTTGGTTTTTTTTGGTTTTTGGTTTTTTTTTTTTTTTTTTTGGGTTTTTTTGGTGGTGGGTTTTTTTGGTGGTTTGGTTGAGGTTTTTTTAGGGGGGGTGGTTTAGCATACAGTATTTCTGTTATCTGATAACTTGTTTCCGCCGTGGTTTATATGTCAAATCCTCAAGTTAAGCCTTTAGGATTTTTTAAACATGTACATTTCTAGAATGATGCAGTGTCTTAGCGTCGTTTCTTTAGCGTTTCCTAATTTAGAGTGTTTATGGGGGACGGGCGGTCTTTATGGAATTAAGGAGCTATTGTTATATTCTTAGTTGATGTTGGAGGTGATTAACTTTGCTCGCGTAGATCGTAGGAGAAGAAATCTGCTCATCAAGAAACATCCAATTACGACTTTAAGACTGCCTTCGCAAACATGTTTGAAGCATAATAAACAGTAACTCGAATTCTCAACGCGATATTTGGCCAACAAATTTTTGTCATATTTTAGATATCTTTCTTTTGTTACAGTAAAATATCATCCCTTATGTGGAATGTATTCTTACGAAAGGGCTTCCAAAAAAGTGAACAAAAATGTAATTTGGCTTAAATGGCACAAAACTTCTGCTTGGGTGAGTGACGTTTTTTAAATCTGATACTTGGAAAAAAATAGTTTAACCGAGACGTCATTTTGCTCTTTATAACTTTTTCTGATGATTATTAAGATTTATGTCAGAAATTATGATTCAGGTACACACCCCCTCACCACTTGTGTTAATATGAGGTCTCAATCACCATGTATTCAATATTCACTCAAGCAAAACTCCCACTGAACTCCGGTTACGTTTTGACTGATCCACATCAGAGTTTTGCTTAAGAAAGAACACTGAGCAACACTCCTTTTATTAGCGACTTTATTCTTTAATTATTGTATTTTACCTTAGGATGGGAGATAAACAAACAAACAAAAAATCTGCCTGTAGATAATCACCGCTATTGCACTGAGATCGCGAATAATACACCCGCCGGAGAAAGTATGTGCGCATACATCTTAAGCGACTACAAAATCAGCGATTGGCAATAAATATGTATACAACATATAGACACACGCAGACTGCAGAGGTGTCTATCCATTGCACTAGTGTCTGTAGTAGCTTCTCTGCTTTTCTGTGCACTGAAGTGTCCTTGTTTTTAATACCCCCCCCCCTTCCGCCCCGTGGTGAAGGTGCCTGGGTAAATGGGTCAAAAACTGGTGGGCAAATGGGTTAGGAAGAGGTGAAGGTGAAGATCAATAGAGGTTTTAGGGCTGGCTGTATCTGTTGTGCTGGGTTTGTGTGACTGTGCCCAGAGGGCGGAGTTCCTGCACATTCCTACCTCACCGGAGAACCTGCCCTCAACTCCACTTCAGCTACTCCAGAGAGATGGGACCCTCCAGAAGAAACCTGCCCAGCAATCCTTCCCGCCAGAAGGGTAGGTGCACTTCAAGAAAATCTTCCCTACCTCTTATCCCCACAGGCAGATCCATGTGATACGAATGAATAGAGATGACAGACTTCTGTCTAAACGCACAGTTTCCCCGTGGCCCCCGATAAGCAGGTCGCCCGTGCGACCGAAGCACAGTTTCAAAGCACCGGTTACACCAAAACTGCGTGTGCCTAATGTCAGGATTTTCGCTCTCTCTCTTTTTTTTTTTCTTTTCGGTCTCTTCCTCAAAGCGTTTCCTCCCCCGGCCTTCCCCCTCCCCCTCGGGCTCTTTCGTTTCAATCGGTAAGTTGGAAGTTTCTTCGCCGATTTAGCAGTTCTTGTGGTTAATCTGTAGATATTTTAGCTTGTTTTGTTAACGTGCTCTTTGTTTGCTTGTTTGCCACCAATGTCAGAGAAAGTCACACGGGTGCAATGTTGTGTTTGCCTTTTTTTAAGATGCCGGGAGAAACTGCCTCTACCTGCAAGAAAGGCGCACGATGGCACTTGGGAATAGGAGTCCTCCGACGGCACCGGGTGAGTGCGGATTTTATTCCTCGTTTACACTCTGGAATCAAGTAACTTCACGCGCGATTTTTGTCCTTTGATGCCAGAATGGGAGAGAGCGCCATTCCCGCAGATCCCTGAGCGTGCTCTGCGTTTTTGAAATATTACGGGGGCTAGGCAAAATTCCCCTCCACCACTCATGTCGGGAGGAAATTTGGTCCTTTATCCATCTCTGCTATATGAAAGACGATTTTAGCATGGCGAGTATAGGCGGACTCTGTAATGAATTATTTCTAAAAATTCTGAGCTTGTCATTTGAGAAAAAGC